CTGAAGTTTTATCATGTTTAAAATTTTCAAATGTATAATTACTTTCTAACAATTTATTTGATTCATTCAATATCGTTATACTGTAAGAACTTATTTGTACTTAGGGTGTACCAAAAGTTCGAGTCAGAAGGTTCAAAATTCTATAAAACAGTAAATATTGAATGTTTTATTATGGGAGTATAAAGTATGACGTCTCGTCTTTAATAGTCTATAGAGCAGCTCTATGTTGGATTTAGTTCTAACATCCTGCTAGACTAAGCCTATAATTTATCAACTATGCTACTATATAACTAATCCTTGTCCAATCTTTAGATGTATTCTGGAACTTTCCATATTTTCCATTGGTCACTCTCTGTCGTTACATTTTATGACGTCATGTTCTAGAATATTATATTTCGATAGTATATATAGATGATAGGTCGTTCACTGTCAGCTCATTTGTACCGCACCCGGCTTCAAATCGTCATAGAATCTGATTTCAACTTTAAAACGATCTATTAAACATGACTGATGAATTTCATCGATACCATATCAGAATTCGAGCTATTTTGGGAATAGATTCAAAAACAATCTTCGACGAACTTACAGAAGCATTGGGACCTGGTGTTCCATCGTATCCAATGGTCAGAAAATGGGCCAAACGTTTTCGTAAAGAAAGAGAAGATGTCAGTGATGATCCTCGATCTGGTCGTTTGATTTCGGTAAGGTGGGAATAATCCAAAACTAAAGCAAAATGTTTTTTTCTTTCTTTTATACACCATAAGATAGAGCTTGTCGAGCTGAGTAAGAATATATATCTTTGAATTTTTTTTCGAAATGATTATGTGGAAAAATTTCCACTTTTTTTCAATGCAGTTGAAAAATCGCATTTTTCTTAAAAATATGGATATCTTCTATGTTTTTTGAAATTTTAATAGAAATTTCGGTCTATTGGAATTTTAAAAATGGTATATTCAGATTCCTTGTGAAAAGCTGCGTCTACTGAACCTATTTTTGATACCACTTTCCAAAAATTTATCTATGGAATTTCTTAAAGAATATCGACCAAAATATCCAAAAAATGGCATCTTGTCAACATTTTTGAAGGTCTATCTAGTTTTTTCTGTTAAAAGATATAGCCCTGTTCTATATGCCATTAGAACCACCGAACATTGCGCTTCAAAAGTATAAATTTTGTTTTTCGAAATACTGATATTTTCAAAATGAACACTGTTCAACCCTGGCTCAAGACCCCAAAAACATAAGATATTACTAGAAATTCGA